TCTTTCATCTTGGATGAAGGATGATATGCGAAGTACAAAGATAATTCATCCAAATAGTAACACGGTCATCTTCTCTCATCCCCCGTGACATTGGTTACCTTCGTGTTACCTCAGTACTCTTATTCTCACGTGGGTTATAGAAACTTGGAATAAATGAAAAATTTGATAAGGCATGACTTCATGTAATTGGTCAACAGTAACATGGGACTTTCACTCAAGTTGATGTTGGTGTGCAACTTACTCTGAGCAATGCTCTGTGGGTAAGTTTAATGGAGATATGAATTCAAGTATGTCCTTTTTATAAGCTATATTTAGAATTTCAAATCACTTGGCTTCATTGTACACGATAGCTTACTGGAGGATAAACGATGCTACTTATCTTGTGCATTGTCTGTTGATTACTTATGCTTGTGGTTATGGTAATTTTAATTTTTTTAGGTATCAAATATTGTCAAACGTTCAAGAAAACTCCACTAAATTACTCATATTTTTAACAGTACATGTGTGTGTATATATAAAAAAAAACTATATTGCATTTGATATTTTTTATTTCACTATACAATTTATTTTTCTATTTATTTATTGTAAAATTAAAAAATAATAAAATAACTTTTATTATATACAATATATATTGTGATATTTTTTCAAATATATAATAACATCATAATCCAAGTGGGATTTCTTTGATCCAAAAAAACCATATCAAAAGTCGAAAAATTAATATTCATAAAAGCCCGCGAAGTTACTGTTTAACCCTGTATAAAAATGTAAAAATGAATAATAATAATAATTATTATTATTTTAACTTGCGGATATTCCAGATGATGGATTTGATTTTTCCAATGTATTTGCATTCATTGCATCATTCATTTCATCAAATGCTGTAAAATGTCTTTGCTGTAATAATTTTATATCTTCAAATACTAATAATAATTAATAATTAATAAATTATAATAATTAATAATTAATAATTAATATAAATTATAATAATTAATAAATTATAATAATTAAAAATAAATCAATAATAAATCAAATCAATAAATAATAAATCAATAAATAACCTTTATCAGCGTAAGAAGTATCTTTTAAATAAACTTTTTGTAAAAAATCAACCATTGCACCTGTACTAACTGCACATTCTTCTAATGGTAATGTATCATAATATGAATGATCCACTTTAAATGGATTTTCTGGTGATTGAGGTATAAGACTTAATGTTATAACTTCTGCAATTATATCCCATAATTTTATATCTTTAAAAATAAATAAATAAATAAATAAATATTTATATATATATATGTTAAATATAAATTATAGAGAAATAATTATCGAGAGAAATATTATAAATAAAATTTACCTTGATTATTCCAAGCAGCTATGGTTTCAAGTTTTAATGGATTATCTGTTTCTAATTTTTGATTATCCTGAAGTTGAATTAATCTTTTATGATTTGATCTCAACTTTTTTTTTTTAAAAAAAAAAAAAAAAGAATAAAAGAATAATAAATAAATAAATCAATATATAAAAATAAATAAATAAAATAAATATATAAATCTATACAAATAAATAATTTTACCCAAACGTAAGGACATTTATATTTTGCATATCCAGCTATTAAAAATACATGATTCGATTCTTCCTATTAAATTTGTTGTTATCATATATATATAAATATATATAAATAGAAAAATAATTTTTTTTTTTTTTAGAAAATTTTTATTCTTAGAGAAGAGAATTTACCTTTTCCAATTCTTTATCTAAAGGACTCGATGGTAGAAAATTCATATTCGAATAATCTTCTCCGTTACTAAGTCTAATTATTTAATTAAATCAATTATTTTAAATAATTAGTACGTTCTTTTTTTGGGGGATTGTACGATATTAAATTATATTATTTACCTTCGTCGCGTCTTTGGTGAGAACATTGCATTACTTCTAAATTAATTAATTATGAAATATTAATAAAATATTAATAAAATATCAATAAAATAAAATATTTAATTAATAAATATATTTAATACAATTAAAAAAAACTTACTGAGATTTTACAAGTGACAAAGAATTATAATTCCTTCGACAACCTTCAGTAAGTTTGATCGGATTATTATCAATATAAACTCTTAATAAAAGTTCTTCTCTTCCTCTTAAATATACTTCAAAATGTTTAAACCCCTAAATATATATATATTCAATATTAATAATTTATTCAACAATTTGACACCTTTCTATATTCCTATATATATATATATCTATCATGCATTCGAATGTGTAGATTACCTTTAAACAACCTAAAGAAAGACAATCTTCCAGAAAAGAAGATAATCTAAGTGTTTCCGACTTCATGATTAGAAGAAGGGTTCTTTTTTTCAAGTATTATTTGATAAACAGTAATTTAAAATTTCAATAATTTAATATTTCAAAATTTATTATTAAGTAAAAAAAAAAAAAAAAAAATAAGACTCACGCATTCAGACACTTATGTAAGGCATATATAATAAATATATAATATAATATAATAATGTATACGGGGGTTAATAGATATAAAAAAATATAAAAGAATGAATGTATAAAGTATAGAAAAGTATAATACTCGAGACGTTATTTTATTGTTTTAACGTGTATCTGTGTAACTTATGTAATGCAAATCTTTGTGAATAATGACATAATTGTGATATTTTCATTTTTTATATAGATAAAAATTAAATAAATAAATACAATATTGATTATATTATTATTTAAAAGAAATTAATTATTTTCTTCTTTTCTGATTTTATCTTTTTAGCGTGTGCAAATGATAATATTTCATTTTGTTCTTCCTCTTTTTTAAATTTCTTTTTCTCTTTAATAAATAAATGATAATCATCATCATCCGCATGATTCAAATCAATTTTTCCTACTGATACAATTCCTAAATCTAAATAAATAAATAAATAAATAAATATATATATATATATATATAAATTGTAAGAATTAAATAATATTTTAATTAATTAATTAATTAAATTAAATTAATTAATATTAATTGTAATTAATGAATGAATGAATTCATACATACCTTCTTTCTTTAATGTACAATCTTTCGCTAAATGATCAACTTTTCCACAAAATCTACATCCTCCACCATTGGGATATAAACCTTTTTCATTTTTAGGACATTTACTAGAAAGATGTCCCTGTTCATTACATACAAAACATTTGGCATACTGATATTTATTCGCTAAAAATATTATATGTGAATAATAATACGTGAATATAATAATCATTAATTATAGAAATTATTTTGATATTATATAAATATTTAAAATCACCATTCGATGACCTTCTACAATCCTTTGCAGTATGTTCCGCAGATCCACAATTATAACAAATTCCAACACCTTTCTCTTTTGCTATCGGACAATCTCTCACACTGTGTCCTTGTTCTCTACATCCATAACAAATCTGGATATATAGATATAGATAGATATAGATATAGATATATATGAAAATAATTTATTTAATGTGAAAATATTTTCTCATTATATGTTTTATATACCGTGTTTGAATGTCGTTCTCTTATCCTTCTTAATCTTCGTCTTTCTGACTTTGTTACTTTATTCACTATATGTTCTTATTTGGAAACAAGTGAAATCATATATATATATATAAGTATAGAATAAAGGAATTAGTGCGCGACAAAAATTTTTCCAGTGCTGCATACCATCTACTTGATTGGAACTTTCCCTTTTATTTCTCTTTTTTTTTAATTTGAATTTTGATTTAGGAACTTTTACGTTGTTTTCTTCTTTTACACTAATTATATTATTAATTTCCTCATTGTCCAAAGTTCTTTTTTTGTTATTTATTGGACTTTTCTTTTTATGTTCTATTTTTTCTTCTGATTCTTTTGATGCTACTTCTTGAGTTTTGCCTTGTTCTGGTATAAGAGGTGAGACATTGAACCCAGCCGCTTTTTCAAATTTCTTTTTTTCAAGATTTGTATATCTTGTCATCGAAAAGAAAATTAATTATCTAATCAAATCGGTCATTTTATATCCAAATCATGTGATATTTTTATGACTATAAATTATAGAATGAGGCTCGTTCCATTGTTAGACCCTTTTTTTTTTTTTTTAATTCGAAGCAAATTCTTTAAATAATTGATTTTTTAACAGCCCCGAATGGAATATCAACGTCAATTATTAGAGGAGTTATTTGCTCCTTTCGAAACATCTTCAAAGCATAACTTTTGGGATGACGCTGTCTGTAAACATTTTTTAGTCAAGTTTTGCCCGAATTCACTTTTCACCAATACGAAATCTGATCTTGGTATGGGTTGATTTAGTATTTCTTTTTACCTCTATTTCTAACTTTTGATTTTCTATTTATTATTATTAATTCAATCGGGGCTTTTTTTTTTCAGGACCTTGTAACAAAGTTCACGATGAAAAACTTCGTCAACAGTTAGTATTTATTTTTATTCGATATTTTTACTATTATTGAATTCTTTTATATACTTACATTTTATGCGTTTTTTTATTTATTTGTACGATTAATCCAATTATACATTTATAAATAGATATCAAGAAGCACAAGATCGTGAAAAGTATGGATATGAAGCAAAGTTCTATGATTATTTGCAAATGTTATGTAACGATTTAGATAAAAAAATTAAAAAAGGGAACGATAGACTAAACGTTCGTCCAGACGATACTGTACGAAGTTACTTTTTTTATTTATTTTATTTTATTATTATTATTTTATTATTATTATTGTTTTATTATTGTTTGGTTTCATCAATTATTTAAAAAACATTCATTAACAAAATCTACCAAAATATATATTTTTAGCTTTTAAATCCCAATAAAGATGAAAAAGAAGAAAAAATGATAATCTTGGACGAAAAAATTAAAGAATTGTTAGTGAAGGTAATTATTTTCCGTTTTTGATGTTTTTGATAGTCTTTTTAGTCTTAATGTCACTATACCAGTATTTTCTTCTCTCCCTTTCTTTTTTTTTAATAATACAAGACCGAGGAAGCAGGAGAGGAGGGACGTGTTCAAGAAGCACAAACTTTAACTAAAGAAGTAGAAACGCTTCAAAAGGATTTGGATTTCTTAAAAAACGTGAGTAATAGTCGAAATATAGGTCCACTGACGTAAAGGTAACATATAAAAAAAAAAAAAAGTCACAAAAGGTCAAGCGAGGAGGATTCTTACAGACTTAGTTGAGGTAACTCCAAAAGCATGATGTGGTTTTGAAGTACAAAAAAAAAAGTTCCTTTCAAGGACGTCCAGAAATTTGCTAACCTTGTAAATAAAACTTAGCTTTTTAACTTTATCATTCCAATTGATTTATAATTATAATAATTATTATTATTATTTGGAAGCTACATTTCAATAACATCATCATTCTTCAATATCAAATATCTCCCGTGCTTATTTCCAGCAGAAGACAAATTCAAAAGAAAATCGGTAGACTTTTTTATTTTTATTTTTTATTTCCCTGTTGACTAACCTTTTCATATTTATATAAATCAATTCCATGAAAACCAATTCTCCGGTCCATCCTTTCTTGATTTGAATAAAAAAAAAAAAAAAACTTAGAGCGATGATTCAAACCCATTATTTAAACAAGAAAGAAGAATGTTGGTTTGTGAAGTATGTGGAGCATTTTTGGTGACGAATGATACATCTAATCGAATGGATGCTCATTTACAAGGAAAGCAACATACGGGATATAAACAAATTCGTGAAACTCTTCAGGAATGGAAGGTAAGGATTTTTTTTATTATTAAAGTTTCACAAATTTCGTAAAAAAAAAATAGGTTTCCTTTTTTTTTTTTTTTCTTTGTTTTTTTTTTTGTTTTTGTTATCTATTATGCTTTCCTTGTAAATCTCATTGGGAAAGCATATTCAGCAATTACGAGCACATCCTTCATCTCGTGATACAAATCATCGTGATTATCGTCGAGATTCATATTCTCGGCACGAACCTTATCCTCGTAATCGCAGAGAAAAGCATAGAGAGAGAGATTATCGACGTGAGGAAAGAGATTATGAAGATTATCCTCGAAGAAGAAGTAGTAAAGAAATTCGACGGGAACGAGACGATAGAGGTGATAGAGGCGATCGAGGTCGCCGGTATTATGATGATTGAGCTCGTTTTTTTTAGGTATTCAAATAAAATAAAATAAAATGGGCTCAGATCATTGGATTTCGCATTAAAAAAAAAAAAAAGTCACTTTAAATAATTGATATTCAAAGGTTAGAAAAAAAAAAAAAACAGTGACTTTGAGTTGACTTTGAAGATTGCAGAAGAAAGTAGCTTTTTTTAGAGAGAAAAAAAAAATTCTTTAATTTTCATTCATTATTTATTGTAAAAATGTTTCAGGTAGAAACGAAAACATTATGAATAAAATTTTGCAAAAGGAAATTATTTAGTAAATTAAAGGGCATTCATTAATTTTTATTTTAAAGGAGTAAAAAATAATAATTTTAAAGTAATCCTTTTCTACGCATTTCTCGTCGTTCGATCGTCTAATAAAAACAAAAAATGTAGATTAAATAAATTAAATAAATGAGAAAATAAAAAGAAATAAAAAATTACTAGATCCTACCCATTTTTTCTTGCATTCTTTAAAGTTTAAAAAGTAAGCTTGACATTTATGTTTAGCGAAATTATTTTCTTCCAAACATTTCATTGAAGCCAAAGTTTGTTCTTGACAAGGATCCAAGAATTGAGAATTTTGTTTATATTTATAAACTTGGTGAGTAGGTAATGTCGTCGTTGTTGAAGGAGGAATATCAGTCATGTCAGTCATGTCAGTGGTCACGATAAAGATAACATAACATAACAAATAACATTAAACACGTAAAAAAGAGAAAAAAAAAAAAAGGGTATTGGTGCATCCAAATTAAGTTATCGATGTGACGCCATTGTTTAAGCCAATATGTATAAATGCTCTTCAAAAAAAAAAAAAAATAAACGGTTTAAAAAAAAAACGGTTGTGATAAAAATAAAGAACTAAACCGTTTTTTATCATTCTTAAAGCTTGTTAAAAAAAATTTCTTTTTTTTTTTTTTTTCCTCTTAGTTGAATATATTTTGGATAATATTAATTAATTTTTTATAATAATAATAATTATAATAATAATAATAATAATAATAATAATGTCTTTATCATTTACTTCACGGTTATCAGAAGATTTTAATACTTTACTCGAATATGCAGAAGATTATGATGTTATAATTAGAGTAGGAAAACGGAACTTAAACAAACAGTTTCAAGCACACTCCATTATATTAAGGGCGAGGTCTGAATATTTTCGAGCAGCTTTATCAAATAAATGGGCAAGAAAAGAAGGAACCAAATATATATTTGAAAAACCCAATGTTAGTCCGATTGTGTTTGGAGTAATACTTAGGTAAATTACTTTTTTTTTTTTTTTTTATTTATTTATTTTATTTATCAAGTTCATTTTCATTTTTATTAATAAAATAATAATTTATATAAAAAAAATAATAATTTATATAAATAAAAAATAATTTATATAAAATAAAAAATAAAATAATATATATATATATATATATACATATATATAAATATAAAGATATATCTATAGTGGTAATATAGTATTAGATAAATTAAGTGGAGAAGATATATTAGAACTTTTAGTAGCAGTTGATGAATTAATTCTTGAAGAACTTACTTATCCATTACAAGATTACCTTCTTCAACATAAACTTAAATGGATACAAGATAATATTTTATATGTTCTTAATATAGTAATTAAACGAAAAGTTTATAGTAAATTAAAGTCACATTGTTTATCAATAGTTTGTCCATCCCCTATTAAATTTTTTGAATCTAAAGAATTTATTAAAATGGATGAAACTACTATGGTTTCATTATTAAGTCGAGATGATTTATGTATGGAAGAAGAAAAAATTTGGGATTATTTAATTAAATGGGGAATGAAGAATACTCCTAATTTAAAAAATTCGGATGTATCGAAATGGAATTTAAAAGATTTTAATGAATTAGAAAAAACCTTACAAAGATGTATTCCGTTAATAAGATATTGGCAATTATCACCAGAAGTTTTTAATAGTAAAGTTCGACAATTTGAAAAGATTTTACCTCGAAATTTAAAATTAAGATTATTACAACGTTTCCTAACAAAATCCACCACAAAAAATGCCGGAATCCAATATGAAAATAGATTACCAATTCCGAGAATTATCGGTACGGTACCACCAGAAAGAACAATAGATTCAACCATTATTGCACAACAACATGCCGCATTAATAGCATGTTGGATAGATCGAAAAATTATAAAAGATTCATCTTCATATATTGATATGTTCCCAACTCCTTATTATTTCAGGTAATCATTTTTTTTCAAGGTACAAAAGATGAAATTTGAATTATTTTACTCTTTTAAAAAAATAATTATATAACATCTTTTTTTTTTTTTTTTTTTCTTTTGGATTAATATAAATTAATATAAATTAATATAATAAGGTTATTATTTCGTGGAAGTCGAGATGGATTTTCGGCAAAAACGTTTCATAACAAATGTGATGGACAAGGGGCCACCATAGTAGTAGTTAAAATTGGAGATTCCAAGGAATTAATAGGAGGATATAATCCAATAGGATGGTCATCACCACGAGATGTGGAATGGCGAGGTACACGAGATTGTTTCATATTTTCATTGGGAGATGGTAAAGAATTAGGGAAATCGAAAGTAAGTAGAATTAAAGGGGATTGTGTTAATGATGCAATTTTACTTCAAGATCGATTAGGACCATCATTTGGATTTTATGAATTAAAAATTATTGATGGAGCTCAACAAGGTGGATCAAGTTATGCATCAGGTGGATTAAGATATGAAAGTAAAATTAGGGATAAATTTAATTATTTTGGAGTGGATGATTATGAAGTTTTTCAAGTTATAAAGAAATAAAACACTTAAAAAAAAATTTTTTTTTTTTTTTTTTATCATCAGATTTTGAATTTGGAATTCTAAAAAAAAAAAAAAAAAAAAAAAAAAAAAAAAATTGAAAAAATGTGTTCGCTAAAAAAAATTATAAATCACGTGTAACTACTATTGTATATATATTATTCATGTATCATATTTTTATACAGTTTTAAGCAGGTTCATATATATTTTTTATATATTTTTTTATACATTTTTATATAGTTCATATATATAATATATAATTCTATATACAGTTATCATACATATCATACTAATAATAATAATAATAATAATCATCATCATCATCCTGCTTTTTATAAATAAATAATATAAATGATATAAAAAAATAAGGTTTATTCTTAAAAAATATTTAATATATAATATTTATCATTTTTTTACTTTCAATGGAATTTATAAAAATAATTAAAAATATTTATGAAATATTTATATTTTTAAAAAAAAAATAATAAAGAAATAAAGAAAGTAGAATAATGCGCATATTTTTTTTTTTTTATTAAGAATATTATAGAATTAAAAACTATAATTGTCTCTCATATAACGTTAACAATATAATTGTCTCTCATATAACGTTAACAATATAATTAATATATAAACAATCCATAAATAATATAATTATTAATATCTGATTTTAATAATTAATCATAAATTTATAGTTCCCAATTATTACCGTCTTTTTCCTTTTGATCTGATTTTTTGCTTCTTTTCAAAAATAAAGAATAAAGGGAAAAGAAAAAAGGGATTGAGGACTTACTCTTGAGTATTTACATAATTGTTTTCATCAAGAATTTCGCTTCTTCTTTCCTTTCTCTTATTACTTTTCTTCCTTTCCTTCCCCCTCCTTTCCCTTTCTTTCCTTTACCCTTTCTCTCCTTTCGCTCCTTTTTCTACGTAAAATTATTTCAGAAATTATTTTTTTTTTAAAAAAAAAAAGATAACTAATTGACGAAATTTTCTCCATTATATATATATATATATATATATTATTCTAACTTTCCCAAATTTATACAAACGTTCACTCACTTTCGCTGGGTTTTAATATAAAAAAAAAAATGACGATATAATGGGGAATTTACGTAATTCACGTGACACATTGTGATTTTACTTTTAAGGTAAATATTAAAATTATTGGCTGTTGAATTAGATTTTTAGTATCGTTTTTTCACATTGTATAGATGTTAAAACATACATGACTACTTCTACTAAAAAATTTGGTCTTCTTCCAAATGAGGCAGATAAAATTAAACATTCCATTGCGGGAGCTGTGGCAGGTTGTGTTAGTTCAATTGTTACTTGCCCTTTAGATGTAGTAAAGACAAGATTACAAAATCAAGGGAAACAATTGGAGGATCCTAAATTTCCTTTATATCAAGGCACCGGAGGTACATCATTGGAAAGTTTCAGGAATTTTCTTAATTTATTTTTCTAAAATATAAAAAATAATAATTATGAAAATTTAAAATTTGAGTTTTTGAAATTCTTTAATTAAAAAAAAAAAATTACTTAGGAACCCTAAAACGAATATGGGCAGAAGAAGGGATACGTGGTTTATATCGAGGTCTTGGACCAACATTATATGGTTATTTACCAACCTGGGCTATTTATTTTAGTGCTTATGATTATTTTAAATTGATTTTGGCAGAAAGAAGAGGTAAACGAATTCAAAAAAAAAAAATTAAATTCAATTAAATTAAATTATTTTACTGAAAAAAATGTTTGTTCGAGAAAATCTTTGAAACGAGAAAAAAAAGTGACAAGAAAAATAGTTTTTTTCTCCTCGTAAGACATTTGCACCCATTAAGACCATGAAAAATTATATATTTATATACATAAACAATATATATATATTTATTTATACGTATATGTATATATATTTGTATATATGTATATGTATAAAGGAGATATATTTATATGGGATATTATATATAGATATATAGATTTATAGAGATATATATATATATATTAGATAAGATAAAAATAAAAAATTAAAAAAATTTGATTTCTAGAACTGATGGGAAAAAATTACATCTTGTTCTTGAAACTCAAATTGTGTTAGGACGAAGAACAGATAATCAATGGATAATACATATACTCGCGGCCATGGGTGCAGGTGCCTCGAGTACAATAGTCACTAATCCATTATGGGTGATAAAAACACGACTTATGGTATTTGTCAAAGAATCAATATGTTGTCATCAATACATGTGTCTTTATTTTTTTTATTTTTATTTTTATTTTTTTTTTTAGGATAATAATATTATTAAATTTTTGAAATAACTTCTAGAACATATAGTACAAAAAAAAAATGTGACGTTAATTCATTTGTCTCTTTTTGCAAAAATTAAATTTAAATTAATTTTTATATATATATATATAATTTAAATTAAAAAAAAAAAAAAATTTTTTTAAAAAAAAAATAATTTAAAAAAATAATTTAAAAATAATAATTAAATAATTATAATGATAATAATAATTTAGACACAAAACGAAACAACTGCATACAGATATAGAAATACGTGGCACGCTTTTTCTACCATATACAAGCATGAAGGGATGAAAGGATATTATAAAGGTCTGGGTCCTTCTTTAATGGGTGTGAGTCACGTTGCCGTACAATTTCCTTTATATGAAAAAATGAAAATATGGTTAAGTAAGTAGGAATTAATTTAATTTTCTTTATTTAATATATTTTATTTTTCACAAAATATGAATTATCATCATCATTATTGATATTTTCTATTTATTTTTTTTTTTTTTAAAAAAAAAAAATCTTTAAGAAGAACCAGATAAAGAATTGTCCAATCCTTCAATCTTATTCGCATCATCCGTTTCAAAAATGGCGGCATCAATTGCAACCTATCCACATGAAGTGGTTCGAACGAGATTACAAAATCAAACAAAAAAATCATCTAAATATAAAGGTGTATGGCACGCGGTTAAAATCATTGAAAGTGAAGAAGGATGGTTGGCTTTTTATAAAGGGATGTCAACCAATTTATTAAGAACCGTACCCGCAAGTGCGTTAACGATTTTAACATATGAAGTTTTAGTTAAAAGGTTAAACGCGAGTTCAGGTAAGAGTGAGTGAGATGAAAGTGAAAGTGATGGTGATGGTGATGGTGGAATATTTTTCAAATAAATAATATAAAATAATATAAAAAAAAAATAATAGTAATAATAATAATAATAATAATAAATATGTATATTATTAGATTTATAATTAAACATTTTTTATTAGGAGAAACAATTATGTAGGAAAACATTAAGGGAAAAACATTATTACATTACATTATGGAAAAAAAATGGTTACGTTATGGAAAATTAATTTGGAGGGATTGGAACTTTTTCTTTCTTTTTTTTCTTTTTTGTACAAAGCATTTGAAATTGTAAAGGGAAAATTTTTTTTTTAACATTAGTTTAACAATAATAAATTCATAATCATTTCTTGCATTTTTTTTTTTTTTAATTTGTAAATTTATTATTTAAATTATAATTGGGAAAGTGTATTGATTAATACATCTTTTTTATATATATATAAAACAGGTAAAACAGAGGTAAATAATGGTATTAGAAAAATTCCAATTACCCCTACCAATCATTAACAATGTTCCATATAATGCTATAATGTGATCTCTGTGTATACATATATATATATGTATAAAACAGGTATATTTTAGGTATTATAAATATTTTTTATTTTTTTTTTTTTAATCGGAAATTTTGAATAAATTTTCAATTATTATTATGTAAAAAAAAAACAGATCAAATAAAATAAAAAAAAATTTAAATAACAATAATAAATAATAAATAATGATACATATTTTTGTAATTATCTACTTTTGGAATTTTCTTCATTTAATCCGTGTCCTGTAAAAACAAATAAAAGAAAAAAAAAAAAAAAAAGGAAAATAATAATTTATTTTATCAATCCCCCCACTTCCCCGGTCATCGATAATATATTACATCGTACAACACGATAAATTTCGTATCCATAACGTCATGATGAATACTGTCTTAATTATAATTCATAAATCAATTTTTTTAATCCAACTCATTCTGTGAATTCTGAGAATTAGCTCTTGCATGTGATCCTTGTGATCCTCCTCCTCCTCCTCCTCCTGGTGCGACTGAAAAGAAATTATTCATGAGATCTTGAAACATATTGAACTGTTGTCTTTGCCCCCTTATTCCAAAAAATATTTCACCGATCTTATTTAAAAGCTAATTAATTATAATTATATATGAATAATAAAAATGAATAATAGAATATATAAATATTTTATAAAAATGATATTGTAATAATTTACTTATATAAAAAATTATCCTTACATCGTCAAACGTAGGTTCAATGGATAAATCATTTTTATATTTGTTACGAAGATTAATGAATAAATCTGAAGCATCTCGTTGAACCGTTAAAATTAAAAATTGTAAAAAATTCAATAACGGTAAGGAATAAATTGTCACGTCCACAAAATCCCCAGTTATGGTTGGACGATAAGGAACAATTCCTATTTTTAGACTGGGATCCTTTGAGCTCACTTCAAAAATAAATTTTTCGAATGATGTTTTTGCATCACGAATACTTCGCAAACAAAGATATCTAAAAAAAAAAATTATTATTATTATTATTATTATTATTATTATTATTATTTTATTTTATTATTATTTTTCATAAATAAATAAATTAATTAATTGAAAAACATATATATCTCTCAAATTTTTGAAGGTGTCTAAGAACATACTGTAACACCGCTCGGGCTATATAAACACCTCTTTTAGAAGGATGATCTTGATCAGACCATTCTGCTAACATTTTCCCGTAAGCTTCATTACAATTCGACGTACCAGCAAGAAAATGTGGTTCTGCTTCCGAATATTTTTTATCTATAGTAAAAAAAAAAAAAAATATGGTTATATAAATAAATATCTAATGATATTATCTAAATTAAATTAATTTTTTTATACCTCTCCATAATAATTCTCCAATGAAATGATGTAATTCAGGATCACCAGAAGGATTCTTCCCACAATTAATTGACCAACTGATATTAAAAAAAAAAAAAATTAAATATAAAAGTATATTTCAAATTTAGAAGCCATATAAAAAAAAATAAAAAATAAAAATTAGGTGTTCACCTGACCGATGAATCGATAAATTTTTTACGACCAGGGGCATCGGAAGGGCAAAGTTCCAATAATTTAATAATTCGAGCTTCATTTCAATAATAATAACAATAATATTTATTAAATCTTAAATATTACTTTTCTTATTAATAAATTAAATAAATAAATTAATAAATAAATTAATTAATTTATTGAACCTCGTGATTCCTCGGAAACTGGTAATTCTGCTTCACTGTAAGCCGTAATCATATACAAACATAAATCGCCTCCACTACCTGTTTGTTTATGTGTTAACAATAATTGTGCTCCAGAAAAAAGAAGGTCTATAGCGTGATCAAATTTTTTTTGTTTTAAGTACCTAAAAATTATAAAAAAAAATTATAATAATTTACAATTCCGAAAAATATTATTATTAACGAAATTTATTATTACGAATTTTTTTAGTTTTCAGGAAATTTTTAATGACGCAGCAACAAAAAATGTGTAAAACTTACCGTCGAGAAACGGTTCGATACATTTGATGAGCTTCATAATAATTTCCCGACTCAACTGAATCTTTAAGTTTTTCTAAAACTTTTTCAGTACCTTTTGAGGAAGACATTTCTACAAACGTGATAAGTGATAAAAAATCCGGTTATTTAAAATTTCGATTTTCCACGTGGCAACATGTTCTACAAGTAATACCTAGGGAGCAAAGGTATCGTTTTTGATAGATCTATGGTTATTTTTTTAATATACACATTTATGTATTAGAACGAACGAATTCATTATTGTTACATCAAATTTTAAATAAATGATTTACATGTGATACTGACTGATATGATTATTGATAATAATGCAAAAAATGCAACAATAGCTCCGTTATACTGTATATTAAAGTTAACAGTTTAATAGATTAGATACGAAAATATATATCCATATTAACATTATTAAACAAATAATTACTTGCTTTGCTGTAACAATATGATTATACAATTATGCTTTCACTGCTACATTTTTTATCTGGAAATTTAAGTGCATTATTCCAAGGTAAAGGCAATGTGAAGCATGTTTTTAACTCTTGATTCAATTCTGCGTTTTCAGAATATGTTTCTAATACCTCAACAAGTGGAATCCCTGATTTCACCACAATACAAATAATAATATTTATTGCCTTGATTATCTAGACACCATTCGCCTTCCAAACTCGTATGTTTTTCCTTGCATAATGGACAGTGTAAGCCAAGGATCCAATATGTATCACTCTGATGCTTGCCTTCCATATTTATACTAAAATATAGGTCTAACTTTGAGAAAGTTAGTAACACACGTAATTAATTTGTTAATGTTCTGCTTTTGATAGCATCTTCTTGAATGGAATGAGATTCAAAGGGATATTTGGTGATTTTAGCAGACCAAAATTTGAGACTGGCTTCCGTTTCCAATAATAAGAAATCACATGACTCTGATCGGTGACATTTTGTCACGGTTTTTGAAGTAATCTGATAATTTGTTGAATTTCAATTCCGAAATAGTACTTACACTATAACATATTTACACCTACTCTTTAAGAATTTTTCGAGCTCTTTTGAGTTTTTTTTACGCAAATTTACATCAGTAATGTTAGGCAGAAAAGGTTTCATTTCATTTCTTTTTATCTTTGATCTTACCATCCCTGTAAGACTTTTAATTTTATTTTTGAATTCAAGAGAATAATAATACCATCACAAAATTTGTTTTTGACCTGATTTTAATTGCTTCATCAAATAAGTCAGATAAACTTTGCACAGAACCCGAAACCATATCCTATATACAAGACTTACTAATTTCAGTAAAATCTATCTTATCGTTATTCGAGGATGGGAAGAAACAATATTTTGTGCTTGATCACTTGTATTTAACCTTCTACGATTTGATCATCTGATTCAAGTATTGTCAGTTTTTGTAACAAATAATGATGAGGATGTTATTATTTTTTTTAGATCTGGTTAATTAAAGATAGGTCTTTGAACCTGAGATATGGAATTTTCATTAGCCTGTAATAGTTTTTTTTCCTGTTTTCTTTCTTTTATTTCATTAATAATTTTTTTCTTTATGTACTGTTTCCAGAAATTCTTCTGATGATTCAGGCGCTGCGCAGATAGGTTGGCATTCATCAGAATTTGAATCAATATTGGGTATAGCATTATCAGATGCCGGAGTATCCTTACTTTGTAAGATCACCTCTTCAGGAGTATCATTAGAATTTTTCGTTCCAATAGACAGTATTAATTTGAAGATTGTTTAATTTCCTTAATTTTATCATCTAACTTTGCCATATAAATAAACTTTTCATTATCCTTCTGCTCTAAATTACAAACTCTGATTATTACGCCAATCATACAATCATTATTTATTGTAGAAATAAAAAAAAAAAAATTCATGTGACAGAGGGACAACTTATAAAGTCTTCACAAGTTTCTTTCTTGTAGGATTTATAAAATTCTTTGCAATTTAATTTATTATACCAATTATTATATTCATGGATTAATATTTACTCCCTCTGATGAAGTTTAATTATCAATCATCCATTTACTGTATACTGTATCAAAGTTTTGAATGAACTCTTTGATTTTTGTATTCTTTCGGGAATAACTATTTTTGGATTTTCATCATACCATACCTCGAGAAGAAAAATTCCGTTATCTTGACATATAGATCTTTTTTTCCGATCACAATTAACAATATCCTCAAGTTTTTTTTAATTATCTTTATACCGACTAGTATTATGAAATCGATGCTGGCTCCCTTGTACTTCTAATGCAATTTGATATTTTTGAAAAAATGCATCAAATTCTAATCTATTCAAAAAAAGGAGGATGATACTCGACTATTTGTTTTTCATTAAGAATTTTTTTAGCTATATGAATGCATTTATTCTGGAATTTACGATTTTTTTAGATATCTGATTCTGTTCCAACTTGGAAACTCTAGCTTTAAGCTCAGCATTTTCTTTTACTGTTTGTTCTATTTTGGAATTGAGTTTAGCATCTCTTAACTTCGCGTTCTCAATATTTTCTTTTGCAGATTGTCCTAATTCTACAATTTTAGCCATAAGCAAATCTTTCTCTCTTCTAACTTTGATATTCTTCAGTAAATTTCTTTCTAAGTTCAGGAATTTCGACATTCTTAGCCTCAACTTCAGTAAATTTCTTTCTAATTTCAGGAATTTCGACATTCCCAGCCTCAAGATCAATGATTTTCAGATAGGTCTTTAGGCTTGTTCCTTTGATTTTACATATTTGATATTATTTATATAACTTTATCACAAATGTTCGGAAAAAGAATTTTACTGAACACGTATTGAAAAATGTTTTTGATTAGCAATGCCTTTGATTTCAAATAAAAATCATGTAACATATTGACTAATAATCAAAAACACGATCACTTTTGCCAAGAAAGATTACAGATTAATATGCATCATTATCAATATATTAAAATAAAATCCCAAAATATACATAAAAGTGAACACGATTAAATATATATAATTAAACCATCGGGCTAACTTTATTGATATGATAAAAATAAAAAATAATTCAGGATAAAAAATCTATATAACTAATAATCATCTCGTGGAGTATTAATTGTAGTACTATCTCTATATTCATTCCTAAGCCACCGTAACACCTCTTCTGCTTCTGCTATCAGATTTCTTGCATAGATTTTAATTTATCAACTCATCAAGATTCGCGGAGACTGTTAGAATCAAGTAATCAATTGTAATAGCCTTCAAAGATATTGGGTGTTCATGATTTTCTTTGGCGCTGGAGGTAACAGAATTAGTGTAACATGCATCGTCAAAGTCGATCATTACAATTTCATCAGGAAATTTTTGAGAGCGGATAAATTTTATAATATGCGGATATAACGGATATATTTGGAATATGCGAATTAATGCGTGGGTGGTCGAATATATCCGAATATATATTTGCGAATTTATCCGGATATATTGCGAATTTATCCGGATATATTCGCATATATCAGAATTTATAAATTACAAAACGGAAATAATTTATCATCGTTACGACGTAATAACTTTTTATTTTAATAAGTAAATGTCGAAAACTGCATTAATTGAGTTGAAAGATAAGAAGATTGTGCATCTCCTATAAAAATTTCAGACCTATATCATCAAAATTGAGCAAATTATGAACGGTTATTATTTTCGAACACGATGAATTATTTCCGTTGGAAATTTAATCGCCCATAATTTGCTCAATTTTGATGATATAGGTCTGAAATTTTTACAGGAGATGGACAATCTTCTTGTCTTTCAACTTATTTAATGCAGTATTCAATATTTACTTATTTAAATAAAATGTTATTACGTTGTAGCGATGATAAATTATTTCCGATTTGTAATTTATAAATCTTGATTTATGCGTATAAATTGAAGAACTAGCCTATGTAGATCCTATGTAGATCTCCTAACTTCAGCCAACCTTAACTTTGATAGTTGACATCTAGTCGGATATATTTGAATTTATAAATTATAAAACGGAAATAATTCATCATCGTTACAACGTAATAACATTTTATTTTAATAAGTAAATATCGAATAATGGATTAAGTAAGTTGAAAGATAAGAAGTTTGTGCATATCCTGTAAAACGATCAGACCTATATCATCAAAATTGAGCAAATTATGAGCGATTAAATTTCGAACGGAAATAATTCATCGTGTTCGAAAATAACCGTTCATAATTTGCTCAATTTTGATGATATAGGTCTGAAATTTTTATAGGAGATGTACAATCTTCTTATCTTTCAACTCACTTAATGCAGTTTTCGACATTTACTTATTAAAATAAAAAGTTATTACGTCGTAACGATGATAAATTATTTCCGTTTTGTAATTTATAAATTCTGATATATGCAAATATATCCGGATAAATTCATATGCAAATATATGCGGATATATGCGGATATATCCGGATAAATTCGTGTGAATATATCCGGATAAATTCGCATATCAGATAAATCCACATAAATTCGCAATATATCTGGATATATGCAAATATATTTGGATAAATTCACAAATATATCCGGATATATGTGGATATTTAATGCAAATAAATGTGGGAGTGGTCGAATATATTCGAATTAATTTAAGGCAAATATATCCGGATATATTTGCTATTAAAAATTTCCTGATGTAAAAATAAAAAATAATATAATAAATTACTACACTACACAAAAATCAATAAGATACCTAGGAGTATAGATACAAATAAATGGAAAGAAAATGTACCAAACAAAACTAATGAAAAAAAAACAAATTACTTATTAGTAGCAATAAGAAAAGTAAAAATAACAGATAAACAGGTAAGGTACGTTCTAAATCATATGCTAATATTGTAATTGGAATATCTGACAACAAATAATATATCAATAGAACAATGGTTAGACAAATAAGATAAAAAAGTAAGAACAACTTTTAAATACAAATGTAATTTAGTAAAAACAACATCTAACTCAATAATACATTCAAATATAGGATATAAATTATTTAGTATTAAAAATAGAATATATAAATAATATTTAGTGGAATTTAATGATAGAATTAATCACCAATCTTTATACAGACAAACAACAAGAATAAGAATTCAATCTCTACAAAATAGCATATGGACAACAACATCAATATGTAAACAAGAAACAAAAAATTTAAAAATACACAAAAAAACAAATCAAATAGTTAAAATTATAGAAATATCAAAAAAATATAAAATAATAATAAAAATTAATATAAATATGAAATACCAATAATATCAATAAGAGGAATAATCACCATAGAACAAATAGTAAATGACAAATAATATTATAAAAACATAACAAAAATACTTAATTGCCAATTCATGGATTAATCAGAACACGTGATTAAAAATAATTATAAAATTATGGGAATAATAAAATATAATAAAATTCATTTTTATTAGAATCTCTCTTTCCTGATAATTATGTCTTCCCCAAAATATCAACCACAACTTTTAGCTATTGGAAATATTATTCAAACACTTTATTATGATTCCTTTTCTATAAATTGGTGAACTTTTATTAATTTAAAAATATTAAAAAATAAAAATTTATTATGTATATCTATTCACGTTGATATGAGAATACAAATAATACTTAATAAAACCAAATTTATAATTCGTACTATTTGTGATGGAAGCAATATAATGTAACCAGGTTATATAATTGAAAGTGATAATAATGGTCAAATCTATTCAACTGCTTCTAAAGCTATTAATAAAGTTTATAAAAAAGTTTTTGATATAGAAACACAGTTTTCAGACCCTTCAGTTATGGATTTTAATAATGAAGATATATTAGAACAATTATTATTTAGTGTTTCATTTCAACTTTTCAAAATACAAATTGATAATCTTTCAATATTTATAAGTAATTTAGGTATCACAAAATTTACAAAAAATAATACAATTTAATCTAGTTATCAAGTAAGTCTTATATTTAAATTTTGAGGGCAACAATATCTTTTCGTTCAAAAAATCAATATTAATAACTATCAAATAGATGTGTTTTACAAGAGTAAAAAAATAACAAGCTATAATAATATTTCTTCTAATGAAGTATAGAAGAAAACAGGAATTTTAAAAAAATACAATGGTAAAATTTTATTTGAAATTAATCATCCAAGTACTATAGATTCAATAAAAAAAAATATAAGACCAATATGTTATTCAACAGAATGGAATGACAAAGAGATATTAATACCTGCATTTGAACAACATTTGAAATGAAAAATAGTAACTAATATAGATTGGTATAAGTTTTTTATTCAGTGGAAAGAACAACCAGCTAGTGTTATAGAATTTAAAACCCATCTTGAATTAATATATCAATCAGATCATCAATTTACTGATGAGAGTTAGGTGTCTAGAAAACAATGATAAAAAGTGTTGGCTGTACAAATATTATGCCATTTAAAAAAAAAGAAGAATCAACAGTTAATAATTATAAATAATAATCATTATTATTTTTAATTTTCTATATTTAATTATTTATACATATTTTATTATTTTAGGTTGAATTTTGGACATGAGCACTAGAAACATATGGCGATCAAAAAATCCTTTCTTATTTATATACTTGTGATTTTTTAAATATTATAAAAAATAAAAATAAATTACAAATAAAAATTGACAAATTACAAAATACTGTTGATCGATTCTGAAAAAGTTTGAATAATTTAATTAGATTAACAAATGTGAACTTGATAGGAAGCAAAGAATACTATCAATAATTACAAATAATTTTAGTTTTCGAGAAATTTACAATAATTTACAGGTTTAAAAATAGTTTCAATTGTAATATCATAAATTTTTAATTATACTGTTATAAATTTTCAATAAAAATAATAAAAATAAATAAATTTTATTTTTAAATAGGTCTCAAATGATCTTATTTGTGCTGTCCAAATGTATTCTCGAATAAATGGATCAGAATGTTTAGCAATTAAACAACCTATTATAAAACAAAATTATACAGTATATCAGAAATAAAAAATAAAGAATTTGAGAATTTTTTTTCTAATAAAAATAATGTGAGTATAAGTTCGTATCGAGTTGATCCAAAAACAAATTTATCTCTTTTATATCTCAAGGATAACAAATAATCACTTTGGAAAAATTTGAAGCAACTTATTCCGATGGAATTAAACGTACATCATTTATGGCTAGATTAATTAATGGAAGATATGTATATCATCAAGATTTGGATGGATTATGCATTATTTGTAATGAATATGGGTACGAAGTTTTTGATAATCTAATTAACACTGTAAAATTATATATAGAAGAAAATCAAGAAAAGGTATTTATAATTTTATTTTTATTTTTGAATTATATAAATTTAATTTTATATATGTAACTAATTCAATATTTAAATAGAATAATCTAATAAATGCAATTGAAAATTTGTGTCATCATTTACGAAGAGGATTTGAAAAGGAAATTATTATAAAGAATGATGAAACAGCAATACATAATGATTGTATAAACTATTGTTTATTATATGTATTTTATACCTGCCACCCAAATTCAAAATCCAAATGCCGAAATCCCAAATGCCAAAATTTCAAATTCCAAATCCCAAATTATGATTAGTATTTTTTGCTGAAATCTCAAATCCCAAATCCCAAATACTAGTAATTTGGGATTTTGGGCAACACGTATAATGTATTTAATAAATTCACACAAGAACATAAATTCAGATATCCAACATGTGATCAATTATTTTTGTTGATACAACGTTTAACTGCCATATTATCTTATGATCTTTTTTCAACAATTGAAGAAAAAAAAGATAAACTTAATTACTTTTTGACTCATCAAGCAAGGAAGGTGTATTTGAATATCCAATTCAAAGCACAGCTTTCAAAACTTGATAATGATGATACAATATTTGTCTGTGATTACAAAATGAGAATACTTCCTAAAAGTGCACGTGAAACAAAAGAACAATTTTTTGACAAAAGGGGATGGACCCTTCACACTATATTGGTTTTTACAAAAAAAGATAGTTTACTACTTGATATACAAGCATATGATCACTGGTTCACTAATACAAAGTAGGATGCATGGTTTATAGCTTTATCATTTGATGCTGTATTTGAAATACTTGATTCAAAACCAAAGTGTATAAAAATATTTTCTGATAATAGAGGGCATTATCATAATTTCGAACTGATGACAATTGTTGCTTACTGGAACCAATGGTACAATATTGATGTTTGTGGCTGGTATTTTTTTGAACCTGGGAAGATGAAATCAAGTGTTAATTCACATCACGCACAGGTAATTTATTTTTTATTTACAAAAAAAATCAAAAAATAATTTTTATTAAAAAAAATTTGTTTATTACAATATTTATAACAAAATTTATTACTAATATTTTATAGATTGTTCTTGCTATCAAGAGATATATTCGAATTGGTAATAGTTTAGATGATGGGAAAAAGATTGAAACAGCAATAAATAATTTAGGAGGAACTACAGTTGCTAATATAGAACCAATACGTAATCATGTGGCTATAAAAACAATATTGGGGATTACCAAGTTATCATATTTTGAATGGCTTATTGAAGGTCAATTTGCATTTTATATTTGAGTTAAAAGTTTATCAAATCTGGGTTCCTAGTTAAACTATTCTTCAGAAGATATAACATGATTAATTAATGAGCCAATATATAAGCCAAATTCCAAAATTTCTATACATACCAAATTAAATTTAGCTTGAAATTTTCCTATTATTTCACATAATGGTAATAATATTTTTCTATCTTTATTGAATTAATAATAGAATATAAATTACATTATTGAATTATATTTTTTTAGATGAAAACATAAATAATAATAATGAAAGCTCGTTTATATATTCTACAGGTAAATAATAAATAATTTAAATTTAGAATTTTTTATAAAATTAATGTTATAATTATAATATATTAGATTTAGATGGGAAATTCGAGTTACCAAAAGGTTGAGCTCTCAAAAATAATCAAAAATTCAGATAGTGGAGAAGTGAAAAAAGAATGACAACTATAGTTAAAACTTATTTAGAAGCCTTTTTTTTAGCAGAAAATATAAATAAAACTGATAGAATGTCAGCAAAGGAAATGGTAACGGAATTAGAAAAAATAGTAGAAACAGGAGAAATTCAACAAAATGACATACCAGTGATCAAAATAGTTGAAACATAGATAACAAGATATTCAGCAAGTTTGTATAGAGAAATGACTGAACAAAGAGTTGCTGAGAATAGTAATAGTAATAATGAACAAGGAAAAAATAATAACGAAATTTGCCAATTGGAGCTTAGTAATATTCTAGAAATAAATAAGACTAACAGAAAACACCTTGGTGATATTAGCAATAACATAAATATTAATAAATGACAAAAAAATTAAAAAAAAAAATATTTGTAAAAAAGTTACTATATAATAATATTGTTTCAAATCTCACTTTCCTATATAATAAAATTTTTTTTAAAAATGCAAAAAAACTTTATTTTCAAATAATTTAAATATTTGTATCTTTATTTAACAGAATATCAGAGTTTGTATCACAAATATGAATTTTTATATGAAGTAATTTTTGCAATTGCGACATTATACTAAGATGATCATCCCAAAATTTAATTAGTTGAGTGCTCCAATTGATAGATAAATTAGCAATTAAAAAAAATAATTTACTATATGTTAACTAGTTAATAAATAACAATTCAGAAAACATTAGAATCCTAATATGGCCGCAAGTCACAAAAGGTAAGTATAAAGAAAAGAAGTCATATTGGTATGCAAAATTTAAAGAAAAATTATTAGAAGCAGAATTTAATTTTGTGTAGTAATATGACTATATAAATATATTCAATCTATTAAAATCAATAAACGAAGAAACTAAATTTACAATAACTAAAATAGAAAACACAAATAATACCATTAATAAAAAAAATTAAAAAAAGAAATAAAAATAATACAATAATTATAGAACACTATACACAAGTAGAAAATAGTAATAGTAATTTTAAATCACTATTATAACCATATAAGGAATGTGATTTCTTTCCAAATTCAGAAAATAAAAAAATTAAAAAAACAAGAAGTCACCAAAATTATATGATAGATATCAAAACAAACAAAATTCAAATATATCATTTAGATTATACTTGTATACAAAATTATTTTGAAACTCTGAAATTATAATTTCGGAAAAAAAAGTTAAAATAGTTTTTCATAAAAGACAAAATTATTTTACTTAAAATTCAAAATTTTTTGATCATTCAGATTTATTCTTTGATTAAAGATATATATAACTAGGTACTTTTTTTACTTCTATATATAGAATAGATTTTGCATAAATCTCAAAAAGTCGAAATACCTCAAAAATTCAAAATCAATTTTGGGAATATGTATAATTTAAACAAAAACAACATGAATCAAAAAAGAGTGAAAAAGAAAAAATAAACAATAAAGAAAAAATATCAAAAATGATACAATTCCTGCAATCTATATCAAATTTTTATGATTAATTTAGAAAAAAAAAATAAAGAACCTAAGGTAGAAATAATAAAATATTCAGAAAATAAAATACAAGAAATAAAAAATATAAAACAAAAAATAACAGATTGTAACATGAATAAAATAGAAACCTATATAAACGGATCATGCATAAAAAAGAAAGTTCAAGGAATTTAATAGGATAATATAAACAAATAACAACAATGAGATATGACATAGTAATAGAAATAAAAGAACAAAATAAAAAAGAAATACTAACATTCAAAGGTGTAACACAAGAATTACTATTATCGACCAGAGCTGAATTAATGGTGATGGCAGTTTTATTAGATATAACTCTTGAAAAAAAAATCATAAAAATAAATACAGACTCAAATGCAGCAATAGTATCAATAAACAGATACATAAACCTAAGGAAAAGGAAAAAAATAAAATCATACAAAAATCTATACATATTACAAATAATAGAAGAATTAATAATTAAAAAAAAAAATAAAAATAGAATTAGTAAAAATTAAAGCTTACTCAAAAATAAAATTAAATGAAAGAGCAAACCAGTTAGTAAAAGAAAGAGGAAATGAAACAAAAAAAAAAACAAAAATAAATTTAAAATAATTAGATGTGGTGAAATACTTTAATACAGTAAACCAAGAAGTATTAGACATGCCAGTTATACTTACACGCAAAATTATTTTGGGGCCCTGAAATTATAATTTCAGGGA